CCCCCACCCTGACAACCCCCCACCCTGACAACCCCCACCCTGACAACCCCCCACCTGACAACCCCCACCCTGACAACCCCCACCCTGACAACCCCCCACACACCCATCCTAACAACCCCCACACACCCCCCAGCCTGACCAATTCCCACACACACCTGGCCTGACCACCCCCACACACCCTGGCCTGACCAACCCCCACCACCCCTGGCCTGACCAACCCCACACACCCCTGGCCTGACCAACCCCACACACCCTGGCCTGACCAACCCCACACACCCTGGCCTGACCAACCCCACACACACCCTGGCCTGACCACCCCCACACACCCTGGCCTGACCACCCCCACACACCCCTGGCCTGACCACCCCCACACACCCTGCTGACCACCCCCACACACCCTGGCCTGACCACCCCTCTACACACCCTGGCCTGACCACCCCCACACACCCCTGGCCCACAACCCCACACACCCTGGCCCGACAACCCCCACGCACTCCTGGCCTGACAACCCCCACGCACCTGGCCCGACAACCCCCACGCACCCTGGGTCTTACCACCCCCACGCACCCTGGTCTGACTCACCCCACGCACCCTGGCCCGACCACCCCACGCACCTGGCCCGACTCACCCCACGACTCCTGGCCCGACCACCCCCACGCACCCTGGCCTGACCACCCCCACGCACCCTGGCCGACCACCCCCACGCACCCTGGGTCCACCAACCCCCACCACACACACCCTGGCCCGACCAACCCCACACACCCCTGGCTCCACCAAACCCCACACACCCTGGCCCCACCACCTCCACGACACTCTGGTCTGACCACCCCCCACACACCACAACCTGACCATCCCCACACACCACAACCTGACCAATCCCCACACACACCACAACCCGACTTACACACACACCACAACCTGACCACCCTATTGTGGATAAGATACCAAACTGGGGCTATCCCATGACATCACCCCACAAAAGAATATGTTTAGCAACCACCCCATGGATACAAACATCAGTGTCCCACTTTACCAAGGCTTACGTGCAGTGTGCACAAGTGACACTGTGACACTGCTGGGTGGTTGATGGGGCACTGTGACACTGCTGGGTGGCTGATGTAGCATTGTGACACTGCTGGTTGGCTGGTGTGGCACTGTGACACTGCTGGTTGGCTGGTCACTTGACACTGCTGGATGGCTGATGTGGCACTGTGACACTGATGGGTTCCTTGGTTCATGAGTAACTCTGTGTGGGGTGTATTAAGAGTAGTCTGTGTGTGGGTGTATTAAGAGTACTCTGTGTGTGGGTGTACAGTCATGTATCTTAACGCCCTAGATAAGCTTCTTGGAAACGTGATGTTAACCTAATTGGACGTTGTCTAACATCTCATTGTGAACTTTGTATTTATACTATGTGGAATATTGCAGTGTATTTGTACTGCACAATATTGACTAAATTCACTAGATAACGTACACAACTAATGAAACACAGAGGTTAAGAAGGCTAATAAAATAACATAATGTCTACATTAGCTAATATATTGCAGTAAAAAAAATACAGGTATAATATACATACAGTAAAGCATGTACAGTACTGTATAGTAAAGTAAAATTAAACGGTACACTGTTCACTGATTGAGAGGTAGATGCAGTATCGCATCCTTAAATCTGATGGACTTTTCTTATTTCTATATACGTACTGTATACAGTAAATTAAAATTAAGAATTAAATTTTAAAATTATTTAAAGTGTTACTGTACTGTATCATCATATGCCGGGCAGCACAATCTATTTTGTTTAAGAACACGTGATGGCGCGTGAGCGCGTCCACTCTAAGGCCACTTACGTCCCTTACGTCCTCTGTCTGAACGGGTTTTTTTTATCCCATTATTTTCTTATTATTTTTATGTCCACGGACGAGTATGCATCGACGTTGTTCGGACGACGAAGCTTACGCATGACTGTGTATGTACAGCCCTCCCCATTTACGTACTCACGTGACTTACAACCTGCCTCAGTCATACCAAAATTTTGTATTTTTGAGTCCCAACGCCAGTACACAGGAAAATTTTTGTCAGTAATTCACTTTAAAATGGCTAAAGGCTTAAAAGTGAGAGTTTTGTGGTGCTGAGAAGAAAAAGAGACAACCATTTTAGTTTTTCTATGTATTATTTAAGCATTTCAATTTATTTAATTGATTTTCTACTTACGACTGGATTGGGTCCCTAATCCTGCCGTAGTTGGGAAAGAGCTTAAGAATACTCTGAATGTGGTGTATCAAGAGTATTCTGTGTGGGTATTAAGAGTAATCTGGTCTGAGTACTAATGTGGGTGGAATTTTTAAGAGTACTCAAGGGGTGGAATTTTAAGAGTTCTCAGTGTGGGTGGATGTGTTAAGAGTACTAGTGTGTGGATGTGTTAAGAGTACTCAGTGTGGGTGGATGTGTTAAGAGCACTCAGTGTGGGTGGGTGTGTTAAGAGTACTCAGTGTGGGTGGATGTGTTAATTGTGCTCAGTGTGGGTGGATGTGTTAAGTCCAAATGTTATCAGGGTTAGTTCGTGTTCCATATTCAGTCCCTTGTTGGTTCTGTTGACTGTATGGATGAGTTGAAATACGATAGACTTCACTTATTATACTTACCGTATTATATTTTGTATTTCTTCCATTATCTTTGTAATATTGTCTAAATCTTTTCTCTAAAATATATATATTAGTGAAAAAATTTTGCTATTTAGTATGTACTATGTATGTATGTAATACAGTAGAACCTCGATAAATCGGAATAATTGGGGCAGACCCCAGTCAAAAAAATACAAAAGTCCGAAAAAAGCGAATATATGGGGCGAGGAGGGTTGAGATAAACTTGCTTTTCTGAACTATTTAAAGAAAATCAGTTGATGTTATTACTGCACTTCAACAACTAAGGTCTTTAAGTGTATAACAAGGTTATTAAAAGAATATTACATCAACAGGAAAAAAATATGAAACCGAACTCTCTGGGTTGAAAATCAGACTTATAAGTCTGGTTGTCAACAACTATTGTCATCGAGATGATTGTTATTTACTGTAAAGTATTATATGTAAGTAACCACAGAATTTGTGTTATGAATAAAGAGAAAACTGTATACTGTACAGTACTATAAAGATAAAAATAAGTGTAGGAGTATATTGTATGTGGAAGACGAATTTTATCTGGGAGCAGCTGCAGAGAGGGTGGTATCACGGGTGGGTTGCTCACTCCCAGATTCCTTTAACACTTCTTTATATAATTTCACCACAATTCTCATATAATTTAGTATCATTTGGGGTCAATATTTAGAAGTTGACACCAGGGAACTGAATATTGAAAGTGGGCTTTTATAGTGTAAATCATCTTAAATACAAATATGACCTACAATGCCATTGGAAATGAGCAGTACTTGAGATATTGAAAAAAAATGTGGAGGGTTGAACAATGTAAAAACCTAAAAAAAAAAAACCTGATCTGACCTCTCCTACCTAACCTAATCTAACCCCTAGTGTAAGAAATTTACCTTAATTAAGAGATAAAGGCAGATAGTAATGCAACTTGAATGAGGAAGTAGTGTCTTCGCCAGTGTCCGTCTCTTATCACAGTACAGTACCATGCATGGTGGTCTACACAGTATTGACACTGAATCACTTCTCAGACACTTTACCAATGAAACAAAAGCATCATGAGCCCTAAAAATGACAACAGATGCTGCTTCATTGTCCAAAATGCACTGAATAATGCAGCCAGCCAATGTACATCCATCTCAATACAGACGCCATCTTCCAAATGGCCGCAAGCACTGATTAGTGCACGAGTATTATGTCACTTTGGCACTCACGCTGAATGGTGCGCACGACTATGACGTCACATCAACACTCGTGCTGATAGGCCAAATATTATACTGTGCTTTTTTAGTTTTACTCGAAAACTATAAATTCCCAACGGAAACATTATAGAATAAATTATTATTATTTTTTGTCCACTCTCTCCCAATATATGTCTCAATATTCAGTTGCCTGGTGTCAACTTCTAAATATTTACCTCATTTGGTGTCAGGTTGCTAAAATATTATCCTAAAAGAATTGGCATTAAAAAAAAAGAATCCCACACTGAAAACCACGAGTCACTGTTTACAAAGAGCAAACGGCCGCCTGGCTTTCCTCAATATATGTCTTCAACCCTTTGTAAATTAGTATGGTACTGTACAGTCGTGCATTTATTATCACTTAATAAATACTATTGCAGTGTATTTATAACCACTTAATAAATACTATTGTAGTGTATTTATCATCATTTGATAAGTATTATTGTAGTGTACAGTATTATTCATCTGCATATACTCTGGTTTATTCATTAATCACTTGTCTAAGTGTACAAGTAGCCAAAATGAGTCGCCATATAACACTCAAAGGTAGTAAATAAAGTTTTTAGGAAGGTAACGCCATATTAATACTATACAATACAGTGTGTTATAGTGACCCTTATTGTAAGCTAGTCTGCTGAAAGCTCTCACGAGTGCATCTTGAGTAAATAACCTTCTGATACAGCTTATCCTTTTATTTTCAAGTTCTATTTCAAATTACGCATATTGTATTTTTTCTCTATTACTAAAGATGTTTTATTAATCATGATGAACCATAAACCATAAGAAGCCAATCATATGAGAATATAATACTGAATCAATAAATAAATAAACCTGACGAATGTGGCAACACCTGATCAGCCCCAATCTGCTTACATACTCAAGTGTTTTGGTTCTCAGTAGAACAATAGCAAATCTGATTGGACCACTACAGTATTCAGTAAGTGTTGTTCATTTCAAGATATTTTTATAAATTAATCTTCCCATTTCTTAAAACTTTTTTTATAGTATTTCGTGACCACATCATCTTGTAGTCCGAGAAAAGCAAATTCCGATTGAAGTCTGATTCATTGAGGTTTTACTGTAGTTTAGTGTTTGTCTTTGACTGATTATTCCATTTTCAGATTGAGTCAACACTCTCAAAAATATGCGACGCTTATGGGAAGCGGGACTTTTGCTATTACAATGAACGTTTTCTAGAAGCTGTATCTATCCACACGGTTCATAAAAACTTGGATTTCATGTTGCTCATATTATCAGAAAATTACTTCGTATGGTGAGTATTTACTGATTCTTATCTGAGTGAGTGTTTGTATTAGCTGCTATATAGTTTGACTGCAAGTACAGGTACAAGTTCATCATTGCTGAGAAAGATTTGATCTGATATCACAAGTGTTGAGTTGGTTATAATTTAGGAAAATAGATATGAGCAGAGAGCAGTAATGTGGCAAGATGTGAGTGGTGAAGGGAAAAGCCTGATTCAGGATATATACTATACAGTATGTTGTAGAAACAGAAGGTAAAGTTAAGTTCTCAATTTACAAATATCCAAAGATATGAAAAAAGTCCCATGTTTCTATTTACGTACAAAAAATCAGAAGTTATGAAATATTTTTTTTTTATCTTTTCCTCAGCATTTGAAGTTGAGATGCTGACTCGGACATCTCGGGTTTACTTTTTACTTTTATCCTCTTTGCCGTTGATCGGTTCATTAGCAACTTGGACCATTGGTCATGTCTCTTATGCACTGTTGGCAAGTACTGGGCATGTAGTGGCTCATGAGTGTATCTGTACCTGCGCCAGTGTTGGTCAAGTCTGGTCTTAAATTAGCTCATAGTCAGTGCCGTCACAACACTTAAGCAGATTGTTTCAGGAGTTTACAATTCTCACTCTGAAAAGGTTTAACCCTGACAATTTTGCAAACTTGTGGCTTCTTCAGCCTTGAGCTGTGACCCCTTGTGGGGCAGGCATACACCAGCTCCAGGTATGGACACTCAACTGAGTAGTAGTACTCTCTGAGATGTTTATAAACTTCAATTAAGTCACCCCTTGTCCGTCTATAGTATAACCTAGGCAGTTGCAGGCATTCTAATCTCTCTGGGTAACTGAGATGCCGTACTGCAGGCACCATTTTGGTGGCCCTCCTGTGGACATTTTCAATCAACTGACAGTCTGTAATATATCTTGGGGACCAGATGGGGTGACAGTACTCCAGACGGGGAAGCACCACACACTTGAAGAGCGTTATGACGGACAGACCTTATAAGACCTACTAGCTTAGTTGCTTGGTTCACCTTCTTCTCACAATGGCTCAAGAACTTCGGTTCATTGGGACAACCTAAGTGTATCCTCTTACACCATATGAGGGCTCCGCATTACAAGGGGATGAAGCACCAAATTTAAAAAGCGGAGAAAAACGCGTTTAAAGTTTTTCAAAGTTCAAACAACCATAGCTGTTGTTTTTAAGCTAGACTGTTTTTTTACATGCAGCTCAGTCTCTCTCTTAGCAAACAGTGATAACTGGAAGCTAGTACTGTGAATAGTTATTATTTTATCATGAGTTGAATGAGAATAACTACCTGCCATGTATAGTTGTTTGATATATATATATATATATATATATATATATATATATATATATATATATATATATATATATATATATATATATATATATATATATATATATATATATATATATATATATATATATATATAAAAGAGAGAGAGAGAGAGTCTCTGATGCTATTTCCCTGGTGGAGATATGTTGCATTTATTGATTTTGCTTGTTATATGTGTGTTCAAACACTGTCGTTACTGTGGTAGAGAGGGACTACTCAGTACATGTGTATTAGATGAAGGATGCTGTTTTGTTCCTCCTACTTTTGGATTGTACTTTTTTATTTGAATTGTTCTTTTGAGTTTTGATACTATCAAAGGTGCCACTTGGGGATGGGGTTAAAGTTACTTTTTGGCTACCGTTTGTGTGATTCACAGCTTTCCCTGAGTGTTAATATTCTGAAATGGTGCACATATATATCTAATACATTTCTTCCGATTTGTGTTTGTTTGTCCACATAATCTATATAGAAGTGTGAAAAATAGGCCTAATATAAAATTATTTTGGGGGGACATATGTGAGGGGGTCCTCGGTTTATTTTCTCTCATATAAGGGGTCCTTGTTTGAAAATTTTTTGAGAACCCCTGATGTAAAGGGCAAGTCAGGGTCTTCTCCAGTGATGTAAGCATACTGAGATACAGTGATACCTCGCTTTACGGGGTCAATTGAACCCATGGAGGCCCGCGTAAAGCGGGAAACGTGTAGAGTGAACAAGAGAACATATGGGATTAATTGAAATAGAGACTGGGCTGACCCCCAAACTCCACTTTTTCCCGACACAATACGTACGTTTTAGTAAAAATAACATCTTAACTTTATGATGGTATGCACACACACATAATATAGAAGAGAAATATCAATAGGAGAATAATAAACTGTAGGTTAGGTTAGAAAATATCAAGGTTAGGTTTAACACTTACGTTAGTAGAAGAGATGGGTCGGCGTACAGGAATGGAGGCTGGTTCTGAGGCAGAGGGCAGGCTACTGGCCCTCAGGTGAGTCATCATCACTGTCATCCACACTTATCAGGGCCTCCCTGACAAATCCCTCAAAGTCACCATCACTGTCTCTGTCACTATCACTGGCTTGGGCTGGCAGTGGTGGGTTGTGGGCGAAGAACTCGGTAATGCTTTGTTGATGGCTAGTGTTGATGTTGTCGTGATACACCTTGATGTACGGCTCCATAGCCTACAACAGCTGGGTGGTGAAGACTTCATACCGGTTATCATCAGGGTCGTCGGAAAGGAGGAGCTTCAGTTTCTCTACACGCTCAATGACACCCCTTACATTTACCATGCGATAACTTGCGTTCTTCTTGGGATGACGCACCACCTGCCTCTTCACTGACGTCATCTTCTTCTAACATCTCGTTGGCAGTCACATCAGGAACCCTTATCACCTCCATAATGTCGTCGTTGGTGGTCTCAGAGAAGCCTTTAGCTGTAACACTCTGCGCAGCTTCTCTGGCAAGGTCCACTGCTACTGCAACAGTCTGAACCTCACCAGTCACAGATTGACTCTGCCTCCCACCTGGGATACCTTGCAACACGTCTCCATGCGTGACGAACTGTTGCTACAGACAGCTGATCCCATGTCTCCACCAAGAAGTCCACAGCTTTCTTGACGATGAATTTCCTCCAAAAGTGTTTCACAAGTAGTTCTTGCTCTGCCAACTGTTGTTCCTCGTCCTCTTCGCTCTTGCTATCAGTGTCACCCAGGTTATGCAACTCATCCTTGGTGTTGGTATAGTCGTTCAGGAGCTAAAACTTCTTTGCAGAGAATGCAGCTTTCACATTGCAGATTAATTCTTGGTCCATGGGCTGGATTAATGACGTATTGTTGGGAGGAAGGAAGACCACTTTTACGTTGGGGTGACGATCCAACAGTAGGGGCGAGTGTCCTGGTGCGTTGTCAAGCAGCAACAAAATCTTGAATGGAACATTCTGTTGCTCACAGAATTTCTTTACATCTGGAACGAAACAGTCATCAAACCAGGAGAGGGACAGAGCAGAGAACATCCACGCTTTACATGCGGTCAGCCAGTGGACATTTAGCTTGGTCATGTCCATGTTCTTGTAGGCGTGAGGCTTGCGTGCTGTGTGGATCACCGATAACTTGAGCTTACAGGTACCGGAGGCATTGGTGGTAAACAGGACTGTGATGCGCTCCTTCTGCAACTTCCGGCCCCGACAATTGCTGGCAGTCTTGACAACGAAGGTCTTGGAAGGTAGCTTTTTCCAAAAGAGACCAGATTCGTCCATGTTGAACACCTGGTCGTCGGTGTACTGTCCTTCCTCCATAATCTCACGTAAAAACGGAGGAAAATCCCTAGCCGCAACACGGTCAGCACTAGCTTCTTCACCACCAATGTTAATGTTGGTGATCTTGTTCCTCTTCTTAAACCTCTGCAACCACCCAGAGGAAGCATTGAAGGGTTTGGGCTCTGAGTATTCCCATCTTACGTGACACTGCAGCATACAGTTCACGTGCGTACTCCTTAACTGAGCGCGTGTCCACCGCCATGTTCCGTCTTACCTGACGAATCAAGTAGCTCACAAGTAATTTCTCCGTCTTGAGAAGCACCTGGTTGTGGCAATACTTGATCAAAGAAGCACCTGTAGACTTTGTGATGTTCATGTGCTCTTTTATCTTGGCTGCATCTTCTTGATCGTCCGGATCGTAGATTCGTTAACACCATGCTGGCGCGCGAGATCAACCTGTCTTGTTCCTTTCTCCAACTCTTGGATGATCTTGTATTTAATTTCGTAGCTTAGGGAACGTCGTATCTTCTTTGGCTTAGGGTGGCTGGGTCCAGGTAATGCAAGGTTTCTTTGTGGTGGTGGTCCGGTGGAAGCCATTCTTATGGAACAATAGATACCGATATACACTGTGTAGCCGGGAGGGGTATAACTGACGCGGGTAGGTCAACGGGCTTGAACGCTCCCGCTGCGGGGCACGTCATATTACATTAAACCAATCACAGTTAGCGGGGGAGGGAGTTAAGGATGCTTGGCCCAATCACAGTCCGATATGTCATATGACATCACCGATAACGCAACAAAGACATACACTGCGCAACCTACTCATGCCGCTTACCCAACATGGCGGGAGGTTTGAATCCAAAAATGGCACGGCGCGAGATGACCTCCAGCCGCTCTCCACGTAAAAGAGTACACACACCGCGTAAAGTGAGCATTCCGGTTCTGGCAGGGTACCGCGTAAACGTGGAATCTCGTAAAGTGAAACCGTTTAAAGCGGGGTAATACTGTATACAAAATTAAAGCCAAAAAAGCATATAAAGTCGAAACACTCCACTAAATTCCCTAAATCACCAGCAAATACTAATATATTTATACTCCATATATGTATATATATATATATATATATATATATATATATATATATATATATATATATATATATATATATATATATATATATATATATATATATAATATATATATATATATATATATATATATATATATATATATATATACTCTTAAATCACTACTGTAATGTGATACAGGTGATTAATTTTATCTCTTGTGCAAAATATATGATGTTTATATTCAAATTATTCGCTGTCTTATAAGGATTCCAGCAATGCAAATTATATTCTCCTAACTTTAGTCTGAGATATATAAGATAAAAAC